CCTGCTACCTTTAATTTAATCTTAAATCACTCTTGTCAGAGTGTGGGTTTGTTCTAGTTTTTATACTCATTTTGTTAAGGATGCATTTTCTGCTTTGGTTAATGTTTTCAGTAGATTAAAAAAAAAAAAGTTTTATTACCTGGTGTCATAGTTCCATACAATTTTTAAATTAACATAAAGAAAATATAGTTTTCCCCTCATATTTCTCAAGAATAGGTTTTGTTTGTAATAAAATGAACAACTGTAAACTGAATTATTTACTTGTGATTTAAGGCTGTGCTTGAGATTTCCGTTATCTGAAATTAACACATTCACATAATAAATCAATATTACTGATTTGAAAGCTTTCCTTCCAGCTTTGGCCCAAGCCAGTGTTTAAATTTCAGCTTCAAATAAATATTTTAATTCTCTCATTTTGTTAACGACACTCGTTAAAAAGAAATAAAGAAATCAAATAATAAAAAAGCCCTCCAAATTGTCTGACAGAAAAACAAAATATATATATATATATATATAATCCTGACAGAACGGGCCCTTGCTATGTAAATAACCATGTGATATCAAAAGGATGTCCATTTAAAGATTCCTAAAATATACATCCATTGAACCACGCTGAACTGTCCTAACTAGTCATTAGTTCAACAGAATAGTCAGAATGACACATTTCTTAACAATAATTAATCCAATTTTAAATGAACTTGAAATTTTACGTATAAACCACCACATTACATTTGAATGTCTCTTTAAGAGTGAATGTGTTTTTCTGTTGTGGCTTTGTGACTTGTCCAGGATGTCTCATCCATTAACTGCTGGCGTAGGTAGGTCCCACTCTGAATGAAACAAAGGAATAGGTACAGCTGTGTTACATCAATATATACACTAGCATGCTCAGAATCAGGCTAAATAGACACAGCACAATACAAATGTAAATATCTGGTGGGGCTTATCTGACATGTTTTTAATTTCAAAGTTCCTGTTTGATAATGAGATAATCTAATCTTTGGTAACATCACACTCCTGCTTAGAGATCAGTGGAGGCTGTTCCAGTCAAACCTCTTTACGAGATTAAAGATTATTTTATTGTTTTTGCACAAGTATACCATAAAAATTCATTGCACCAATGGCTCTGCCCCCACCCCCACTTCCCCACCCCACCACCCACACACAGTTATTTGATCATTACATGCCAAGTTATAAGTGCAGCACTAACTAACTGAGGGAGTCCGCTATGAATACTCACATTATCTGAGGAATGATCACAGATTCTTCACAAATTATTGTTGCTGCTTTCATTTCTTATACATTATTATTTCATATTTCTCTTTTTACCAGTTCCAACAGGTTCCTCACACAGTAGAAGTCAGTTTTAGCAGTAATGGACTTCCTTACACTGTAATATAGGAAATAAACACTTGGCTTTTGTTTCTTGTGTGATTGTTGGATCTCTGCGTTGTGACATTAGAGCATGCTGTTGCCAAGTATTTTGTGCACATGTGCAGGGCTCATGTTTAACACAGCTTTGTCTGAGTGGGTAATAATAGCCCCAGTAACAAATCAATTCACCAGAGTATTGTTCCATCAAGCTGATGATGGTGGCCCAGTAATGGCAGATCAGTGATTACAGATGATTAGTGCTTCTCTAAGCTGGCTATGACGCCAGTCTATAAGAGTTGTAGATGCTTGCTAATTTGAAGACATTCCCTGAAGAACAAATAGCCAAATGATGGAGGTCTTCAGCACAACAGCTGGGGCTGCTGGATTAACAGGCTTAGAGGGTTAAATACTGTCAGGCCTCGAGTCATCTTCACTCTCTCTCTTAGGTCCCCTGGCTCTCTGAGGACAACTGATGGGACCTAATGGATTGATTTGTCTCATTACATTTGCCACATCATTAGATGCACATAATGTTGAAATAAAGGCATGCACAGAGAAACAGACAAATCCACAGATGTGCTGTTTGGGGTCATCTGTGGTTATGAAGTAATAAATTATGTGGACAGCTAAAGCTAGGTGACTGAGCACAAGAACAAATGAGGACAGTGTAGTTTTACCCTCACACCTCCTTTGGATGAGTCTCAAGTGGCATTGTTTTAATCATTTTATCAGGCTAAGCTACCATCTGCAACATCCACAAAGGTCAGCAGGTGCTAATGTCCTCTTTGACAGGTAAGAAAAAGTGTTGCTACACAGTGGGTTCAAAGTAATTATGGTACAATCAGTGTATGTTGCCAACTACCTATTGTTTAATTGGATTATTTCAGTCATAGCCCTTGTGGTCTTTGGCAATACATGGTTTTGTATTTGGGAGAATAATGAGGGGCATGTAAGCATGTTGGAAGCAAACAAATATTTCATTAAACATGAGGTTAATACTTTTATGAATCATGAAAATATATCAGTGGAAATACAGTGCATGTTTCTCATAACACAGTGTTATAACTCGTGTTCTTGACAACAGTCACTAAGGTGTAAGGACCTCGGATGATTAAATAATACCGTTTTAGAAAAATTAAATCGTCAAATTATTTAATTTATCACGTTTTTTTCAAGATGTTTCATCTCTACAGTGCAAAACAACCAGAGGTGTCTGATCTTCTTTCCGCTTTTCCCTTTTCAGGGGTCGCCACTGCGAGTCATCCTCCTCCATCTCACTGTAATTATCAAAGGTGTCTGATAATTACAGTAAAAATTAGGAACTTATAATTAGCTAATTGGATGCAAATGTTTAGTTAAGAATAAAGCTTACACATATTGACGAGCTCAGAGTTCAGAACTCCTTCAGAGTTGTGTGTGTAACCATTTAACATCATAATTCTTCATTATACCTTAAATAACTAAGATGCAGCTATTGCAGTCGCCATGGATACAAGTAAATGCAGCCTTATTCATAAGTAGAAAGTGATTCCTGAAAGTACCACCCAAAAGCTTTTTAATATCTTCTGCACTTTTCATTTCCAATGTGTTTTTCCAAAAGGTGCAGAAAAAAAATGCTTCTGAATTTTCTAACTTTCCTTTTTCTAATGTTTTTTTTTCCCTTTAAGAAATCAAGTGAACAGCGCTGTTTAAAAATGACAATAAATTAAATAGATTTGACTTTTGAGCAGCAGCTAAACATCAATTAGCTTGAGAAATGTGCATCTGTTTTGAACAACTTTAATTTCAAATCCATCGGCCCACTGTGAACTTGTGGTTATTTTAAAACATCATCTTACATTAGAGGGAGAAATGTGATGAATCGTTCTGGACTGTTGATGAAACCCGTTCGTGTTTTGAGGGTTTCAAGTTGTCAGGAGCGTTCGTAATTTGTGTTTAAATTTTTGTAAAGTGACAGAATCACTTTAAGAGCTCACTGAAGTAAAGTGGTGTTCATTAGCTTCAGCATACTTTGACAGGATGAATCTTTTAAGTTTCTTAGATGTGAATGTTTAAAAATTAAAATTAAAAAAGCATATTTTTTTAACTAAATTTTAATAAAACATTTCATTGAGGATGTCAAACAGCAACAAAACTAAACAAAATTTACTTTCATAAATCAACTACTAGCAGAACCGTGATTTCATCTTTAACAACCTAAAAATGATTGAAAAAAAACAGTCCAAAAAATTAAGCTATGCAATAAGCTGAAATATTTTCATTAGAAACCCTAATAATTCTCATTATGGCTGCAATTAATAAATGAACAAATATGTTACAGCTGCTAAATTATGGACAGTCCAAACACATTTCAAACATGAAACACTGAGAATGACAGTATATTTTATATTAACATCCATATATAACTAAACTGACTTGCATAGCTTTTAATTAGCCTTTTTATGATGACGTGAACGTTAACAATGAATTCACATTCAGCTGACACATTTTTTGTCATTACAACTTATCATCACAACAGAAAAAGAAACATAGAAGGACAAAAACATTTCTATTAGACCGTTTCATGGATCCTAACTAGATCTGATATGTAAATGAATGTGAAAGTTTGCATCTTGAAATCATAGCAAATAACGGTGAATCAGGCTTGAGCCTTGTGACAAATCAAACTTTGACTGAGTAAAATTATTTACAAGATAAAAAGCCACATCGGAAGAACAATTTGCTTTTTGTTGCATTGCTTGTTGTTACATCAGAGCTCTGAATCGTGACCCGAGGACTCCTGCATGACAGTAGCAGCTATTTATAACGGTTATCAGGCTTTCTGTCAAGAGTTAACGGTGCTTTCATGAGACGAACTAAATGACTCATAACAATTGCTTGACATTCTGCCAGTACCTTTGACAACAGTGTAGGAGCATAAAAAGCTTTTCAGTTCAAGGTGTCAACCTTCGCTTGAGGTTTCCTTTTGTCAGGGATTTTGGTAGTATCCCTAACCCACAGAGGTATGTGAACTGTAAATTCATGTAGTTGTATGAGGACAAACATTTAAAATGTTTAGCGTGAATGCAGTAAAATGACGTCACACGAACAAGCAATGGTGGCCGAGTGAAAAAGAAAGACGGATGTGTTTCAAAAGAAATCATAAAATCAAAGTTCCTGCTCAATAATCCAGGTAAAAAAAAAATCCAACAGGGTTAAGTCAGATCCTCTGGACGGTTTCTTTTTTTTTTTTTTTTTTTTTTTGTCGGTGACATGTTTCGTCCTTCATCCAAAGGACTTCATTAGTCCAAAGAGAAACAACAACCTCAGTCCCATAAGTAGTACACTCACATCGTGGGTCAACCAGTTTGATGGTGATAAGATGGTTAAGTTCTTTGGATGAAGGATGAAACATTAGAACAAAAAAGAGAAACCATAAAACTGGTGGGCCCACTATGTGAGTGTGCTACTTACAGGACTGAGTTTGTGGCTCCTCAGACTGATGAAGTCCTTTGGATGAAGGACGAAACGTTTCAACAACAAAAAAAGAAACCGTCCAGAGGATCTGACTGAACTTTGTTGGAAATCCTCAAATGTTTTGCTGTTGTGATTTATGACAAACCCCTCCCATAAAACATAAACACTCTTCAGTCGTAAGTGACAGAAGTGATGATCAAGGGAGCCACGTTTTTCCCTCCGTCACTGCCGCAAGGGCTGAAGAACGGAAAAAGCTTCCCGGTGAAGGTGCACCCAAAAAAGGAGAAGATGTTAGTGCTCAAATCCACATTATAAAAAGAAACCTGACCCTCGTCATAATCTACAAACACCCCAATCTTTTCAGGTATCTCCCTCACCTTCAGGCTGATTGGAGGACCTGCATTGACTGTTAACTCTTCTCCTTTTCTCAACCAAATGGTCCAGTATCCATTCTTTGGGCTCAGTCTTATGTCCCCCTTCCTGTTGATGAGCTCATACGCAACTCCTAAATCCCACTGTGATTTGTCTTTTACAAGAACCTCATAATAAAATCTTCCCGAGGAGAAACCCTCTTTTGCCAAAACGTTGAGGACATGATCAAATCTCTTTGGTGTGTTTTGGACCCTCCTTAGGTTTCCATGAGCCACTTGCTTCCCATCATCAGAAACACTGAGATCAGCGTGTGCCGTGTCGGGATCAAATGTCACATTTACTGCATGTTTCTTCTTTTCTTTTAAGGAAGGGTCACACAGTTTATTTATCTTCATTTTGATGGATGTCTCCAGCTCAGCCAAGGACTCCTGAAATGCAAACTGGTCGGTGTTAAAGCTCACATCAGACCAATCCTTCACCTGAGGAGAAGATATCGTAAGAGAAAGAACATTCTTAAGAAATCCGAATGGGTCTTCTTTCAGTGGAATGTTATTAAGCTGCTGGTTTTTCAGCGTTATCTCCATAACCTCTGCATTCAGCTCTTTAATGAAGTCTTTGGCTTCTTTTTCTCTTGTTTTCAGTTTTGCATTGACGACCTCAGTTAACTCATTTTGGCTTCTCTCGATATAATCCACCAGAGCAGTCATCGTGTCCCTGCTGCATGTCACTGCTTCCTCCGTGTTGTTTCTGCTTGCGTCCAGTGAACATTGGATTGCATGGATTTTCTGCTGACGAGCCTTGATCATCTGATCCGTGCATTCCTTTTCTGTTCCCAGCTGTTGAATTCTGGTTCGAGCCTCTTCCTCTAGTGTCACCACCTCGTGTTTTTTATGCTCTTTGTTTGCGCAGGACGTGCAAAAAAACATTTGATCCACTCTGCAAAAGAACTCCAATGGTTCACCATGAATGTCGCACACCCTGCTCTCCGGGTTATCAACTGGGTGAATTAGCTTGTGTTTCTTTAAGGCTGGGATTGTCTGATGTGACTTCAGATGGGTTTGGCAGTAAGATAATAAACACACTAAACAGGACTTTATGGCTGAAGGCTTTGGTTCGGGACATAAACTGCAGAGCACCTCTCCACTTCCTGAATGTTCTGGGGCACTCGAGGACTTTTTAGCTCTTTTTTTGAATTGTTCAACCAACTCAGCCATGATAATGTTAACTCGAAGCAGTGGTTTTGTGGTAAACTCCTCTTTGCACAGTGGACAATGAAATAAACAGCTGACATATGCCCAGTGTTTTGTGATACAGTCATGACAAAAGCTGTGCCCACAGGGAAGCGACACAGGCTTCGTGAAGACATCCAGGCAGATGGAACAACAGAAATTCTCTTCAGCTATTAGACTTTCGGGGGAAGCCATTTCTAGAGAACATATGAGCATAAAAAGAAACATTAAAACAATATAAACGCCCTTGTTCTAATAACTAAAATGCTCATTCATGTTATAAATAAAAGGAAAGATAGTAAAGAGTAAAAAAATTAAATATTACCTGATTTATGAAGGCTTCACTGATACTTAAAAAACTTTAACAGGAGCTAAAACTCCGGCTTGCCCCTTTACTTTCTGTTTCTCATGTGACTACACATAATCATTTTCACTTCCTGTTGGAAACAATCATTTTCACTTCCTGTTGGAACAAGTTAACCCATTCCTTGCACAACCAGCAGCTTGACAGTATTTCTTTCATATTCAAATTTTTCCTTATAAAAATCATAAAAGAAGATAATACTTAAGATAATACTTCAGAGACCTGCATGAGCAGTGATTTGTTTTTGTTGTGCATTATTCATGTTACTCTTGACTGTTGGTGCCTTTTAGTCAGAAACTTGTTTCATGTTCAGCATTAGGCACCAATAAAAATTAAATTGTCGAACTGTAAACCGTGTCAAATTCACAACAGCCGTGTAAACATACATAAATGCATGTGTACTTTATGGCATGTAAAGTTTGAGAAGCTGCAAAAGAACTGTAAAACGTGTCATCCTGCGGTTTGTTCTCGGAGGAAACAATGCCTCCTGCATCTTCGAGGGGCTTTTTGAAAGATGAAAGCATTTGTGTTCCCATGAATTTTTCAACACGTTAACAGCTTCCTGTGTGATACAGAGTTTTGAATCCTTCCTGTGCTTATGGTGAGGTTTGCAGGAGTTGACAATTTGAGCATCTTACTGTAAAATAACAGTTAAAAAAATAGAGACGTAGTACATTGAACTTGAACTTTCGGGCACGTTAATTTGCACCTGTTTGTTATAGCAGTCGCGTATAGATATGGTTATGTTTGTTGTAAACATCAAGTTTTGTGTATGTACTGATCAAGCATGTATTTGCTGTAGTGTTTTATGTGTGAAGTTGAGTAGATCTTACTTTAAAATCACAAGTATATATAGAATTAGAAAATAGAAAAAGAAAATAAAAGGCTCAACTTAAAAAAATAATAAAAATCTCTCAAACCAAGTCTTCTGTTTCACCTCAGCGTGGTGGCTATAATAAAATATTTATATGATATTTTGGTCCGATGGAGATTCCTTTTGATTCTGGTCTCTATGAAGCTCCAGGTCCCACTTCTCTTGCAAGATCTAGTGATGGGTTCATTGAAAGATGAGAGGGAATTGTTGCTTCTCTCCTCCCAAGATTTAGTTTTCACTCCGTCCACCTCTGATCGATCACTGCTTTCTTCTACCCTTCAGCCCCTTGTGTCGTCCTCTTCATCGAGCTCTAACCTCGAATACATGAATTAGAGATTAGAGCAGCTCAGAGTGCTTGAGGACACAGACTTCTTTCCATCACCGAGACCTCCTGCTAGCTGACTACTTAATTTTAAATTGTGCAAATCCAGAGTAAAACCTGGTCTCTGTAATTTGTCCAGGAAAAGAATAACAACATGTGCAGAATAGTGAACTGCAGGCTGAAATATGTGATCACAAATACGTCTCAAACACATAAACACAAATAGTTGACAACCACGCACAAAGACCTTGAAATGTGAAACACTGGGTCTTTTAAACTGGTAATTTATCCTCCAAACGTGAAATCTGAATGGTCTATCACTAAGTTCAAGCATTTTTAGGGTTTTGCACAGTGACTTTTTGAGTGCTGATTTAATATTTTGTGCTTTTTTTCTTTCCGTCATATTATGAGCACTTTTATAGAATGACAAACACAGGCACATGGTTACCATGGTGACTATATTAAGTCACAAGCAGCATTAGCAATTCAAAGTAGGCACTTTTCCTTAGCTTAGATTATTGTAAAATTGATATTGGAATATTGGGCACCACATATTGTTTTGTTTACCCTCTTCTTTATTCAGCTGCTCCCTTTTTCAGGGGTCGTCAAAGCAAACAAACTCACGCAAAGATTCGGCAGTTCTTTTTATGCTGGATGCCCTTCCTGATGCAACCACCGATTTACTGCAGTCTATGGTAGCCAGTGTCCTCTTCTGTGCTGTTGTGTGTTGGGGAGGCAGCAGTAAGAGGAGAGGTGCAGAACGACTCAACAGGCTGGTGAGGAGAGCTGGATCTGTGCTAGGAACAGAGCTGGAGTCCCTTACATCGTTGGCAGAGGAAAGGGCCCTTGGTCAGCTACTATCCATCATGGACAATGCTGACCATCCTCTGCACGGTGCCATCATGAAGCAGAGGAGCTCCTTCAGTGGTAGACTGCTGTCCCAGCCCTGCTTCATGGAGAGATGCAGGAAGTCCTTTGTCCCTCAAGACATCAGACTGTTCAACTCCTTTCCATACAGTAAAATTAGAGTCTTGTAAATCTGCGGGACCCTGGACACTTATGTATGTGTATGTATGTATATATACACATGAAGTACATATGCATATGTATATACATGTATATGTGTATGTATGCTTAGATGTGTGTGTATGCATACATATATATAGGTTAATCATGAATGTAGTCCTTCCTACCACCAGACTGAAGAAGTCTTGTGGATGAAAGATGAAATGTTTCTACAATTTTTTTTGTTTTTTTTAACCTGTCCAGAGGACCAGAATTAACTTTTTTAAGATACTTCCTTCCACATTGTGCATGTGCATATAGTCTTTGTTCAAATTTGTGTACAATATCTGATTTTTTTAATTTTTTATTATTTCATGTCTTTTTTTCCTAGAAAATGCTACTGAAAGTCTTGAATTTCCCCCTGGGATTAATAACGAACCTACATACCTACATACCTACCCACTCACCTACCCATCCATCCATCCCATGTGTGGAGCAGAGGGCTACCATTCCAAGTGCTCGGGGAGCAGCTGGGAGGCATGGGGGTGGGCCCCCACTGTGGGACCTTGCCTTGTTCAAGGCCCCACAGTGGGGCAAATAAGGGTGGAAGCTGGTATGGGTGTATCACCTGTATTGGTGTTATTTGAAATTTGTTCAGAAATTTTCCAGTAATAATTTATCATCACAACAATTATACTAGTGTTTTTGTAACATGTATATAAAAAAACTTGGAGTGTGCAAACCACAAATTTATTTAGAATCACTTTTCTTTCTTTTAGCGTTTGTCCGATTGTTAATGGGTCTGTGGAAAGATATTGTCAAACGACTAGATGGACCTGTTAGTCGTAACGTTAAAGAAAAAAGGATGTGCTGCACATCTGTGACAACTGATCAGGTTCTGTTGGTGGTGAAACCAGAAGGAAAAGAACTCCAGGAAATCTTGGCAATCCAGGAAGTACAGACGAATCAGAAAAAAAAAAGCACCTTAAACGCAAGTGTGTAAAAGTGTGATCAAAAGCAGAGCTAACACAATGTTGTGATCAAAAAGTCATAGGTTTCATAAAGATGAGAGAAAACCGCTTATGACTCTGCAGACATCAAATCTTTTACATGACTTTAGAAAATGTAAACTATAAAACAAACATTAACTTATATGTGTGTGTTAGGGTAACCTTGCTCAACTATGAGGGACAAGGACAAAACTCAGCCGCCTCCATCATTCTAGTTTGTTTACGACTTGGCCAGAGCAAAGGGTTGTATTTCTCCCACCAGCAGACACAACACTTCTAGAGGGAAGATAAATAATTAGTCATGAGACGAGTTTCTTCTTTCATCCATCAGCCTGAGGAACATGGCTGCCAAAGGAGAACTAAAGCCAAATGATAGTGCCCAGTGTTTTTGTTCCTTAGACACCCTGACTTCTGTTTAGCAGCTTTACAAGAAAACAATAAAAACGTTTATAAGGACATCTATATGTTTATCAGGGTTAATTAAAAACCTTAGGTTAGCTTAAAAAAAACCCAGGGCTTTAAAGAAGCATCAAATGAAGTAAGCTGCTACTGAAAAAGAAGAAACCATGGCAGTCGTTTCAAAAAGGATCCTCTCCGTGACTTTCTGTCATTAAAAATATCCTTTGTCTGCGTTGAACCGCAAACAGTTTCATTTCTAATAACTTGGCAATATGCAGAAGAAATTATTCTAGACATTTCAAAGACACATGAGAAGGAGGGAATAAATCTGGAGCACAGAGAAACAAAAACATAAAAGGAAAACTGAGGGAAGACAACCTTTGGGATCTTGTTGTCTTGACAATGTGTACTTATGTTTACTTACTCAAAAGTTTACTTGTGGAAAAAAAAAAGTTTATTTATATTTTTTATTAGGGTCAACTTGGGCAAATATCCACCCACTTTGAATGTTATCAGCCATTATTATTAGGCTGTTAGTTGTTATCATCCCCACAGGTTGCGTTCAGACTGTCCCTCCTAGTAGGTTTAAAGCTATGTTCTTATCGCTGATAATATGGTCAAGGGGTTAAGTTTAGGTTCAGGGTTAGGTTAAGGCTCAAAGGTCAGGGGTTATATTTAGGGTCAGGGTTAGATTAAGGCTCAAAGGTCAGGGGGTTACATTTAGGGTCAGTACTCTGGGCTAGGTGTAAGGTTAGGTTTAGGAAAAGGGTTAAATGAAGCTAAAAAAAAGTTATAGTTTTACACGTGGGCGAAGCTGCAGATTATCAGCAATAAGAACGTACCGGTAAACCTACTAGGAGGTATGGACAGTCTGAACTCTACCTATGGGGATGATCACTAATAACATCCATTTAGTGGGCTGATAACATTCAAAGCCAATGAAATATCCAGCCCTAATGTGAGGCTGTTGTTATTTTGAAACTTCCAGTGATACCTGAAAATTCACAAGATCTGATATATTTCTGCCAAAAGTAAATGCTGCTATTTTCTACGCCATCCTATTGATTAATGATCACTAGGTTTAAACCGTTGCTTGAGACAGCTTAAAAAAATCAAAAGTATTTTCTTTATTCACAGTTTCAAGTACCTGATGAATTCTTATTTTAATTGTGAATCAATGTATTTCACTGGAAATTGGACAAATTACTGACTGAAACATCA